AAAGAATTGATACCTTTGAGTTGTGGTGTTGAAGAGCACTAAACATCCCATGGATGGCCAAGAGTACAAACAGATATGTTTTGGAGAGGATGCAAGCTGGAGTGCTCTTTGGAGGCAAAAATGATGAGGCTTCACCTCACAGACTTTGGACCTTTTACTAGGAGATGCTATTCCTTGGAGAAGGACATGATACTGAGAAGGATGGAGGGTTGGTGAAGGAGAGGAAGATCCTCAACCTGGTGGATGGACAAGGTGATTACAACAATGGGCTTTAGTGTGTTAGGAAGTGTGAATAGGTGCAGGATAGAACAGGGTTCAGATCTTTCATTCATAAGGTCGCTGTGAGTAGTGCTGAACAATGACAACATTTATCTAATTAAGTTATGCAAAATTTATCTAATTAAGATCAATGAAAATACTCTTTAGCGTGATATTTTTATGTTTATCAACTTCTCCTTCTATTCAAATGATGCTTGGCCTTTCTTTTGCTTTATCATTTCTTTTCCTTTAAAAACTCAATTATTTGTAATTTAAGCAGAATTATATTATGGCTTATGAAAGCTTTTGTGCACAGAAGTTAGCATATTCATATTCCTTATTGTCATTGCCACAGAGATTCAATTAACTTTAGCATCATAATGTAGCTTTAAAAATATTAACAAGTTTGTACTAGGTAAATTTTACTTAATGTATTCTTTATGAAAACAGTATATAGTAAGACCTAAGCAATTTAAAATTTTTAGGTTTTAACATCTCTGTTGAATCTTTTTAGTAATTTAAATACATTTTATGAATTTAGTAATTGAGTTTACTGAGATAAAGTATAACTTTTTTGAAATTCAAAAATTCATTATAAGTATCAGAAGTTCTAAATAGAAAAACTGTCTTGTAGACAAAAAAAGATTTTCTTTATCTGTCAGATCAATAAAACTCCCTTAATCTCAGAAGAGAGAATGCAAAAGAATATTCATCTGTACATATTCTGGTAATATTGTATTTCAGGTATCATAAGAAATTTCTATAACGAAATATGCCTTTTTGTCTATAAAGACAAACTTAAAATTGCTAGAAGCTAATAAATGGAGCAATGACATCCATCTACATTTGAGAGGAGATGTTGGAGAAGAAGAAGAATCTTATTTTTGTTATTAGGTGCTGTGATATTTACTAACATTCATTGTGTCATTACGCCTTTATAGAAAAGTGAACTAATACAAAATATATTAATTGATCCTTCATCATCCTCACAATTACTCCTGAGATTGAGCCCATTTTTAAGGCCACTCAATCACTCTATTTCATTGAAGGTCTCACTTCTCACTTCCACCTTATTTTCCCCAAACACAAAGTCTTTCTCTAGCAATTGGCTCCTTTTGATAAA